AACCATTGCTTGGAAGGCCTAAAACTAATTGAATTTTTAATATAAAGATTTAAATTAATCTAAAAATTACACAATTGGGAGCTCTCCAATTCCACCTCTTGGACTTGTTGTGTAGCATAGGTTTCATCAAGTCATGAAATTTGGCCTCACAAGCTTCCATCTTATTTGTGAAGAAAAAAAAAAAAAAAAAAAAAAAAAAAAAAAAATCAAATGATTATGGACTATAATGAATCAATAAAATCACCATTAAAAATAGATATCCTGTACCTTTTATTTTAAAACTTTTTTATAAATTCAATCAGGCAAAGATCTATACAAAAATAGATCTATAAGGAGTATACAACTTGGTATATATTAAAAAAGGAAATGAATAAAAGATAGTGTTTTAAATTAAATATTGATATTTTGAATATAATGCCATGCTTTTTAGACTTACAAATATACTAGCTACTTTCAACATTTAATAAATGATATTTTTGTGAGTTCTTTAATGAATTTTTTATCTATTATCTAGATGATATTTTAATCTATTTAAAAACATAAAAAAATATGAATTTCATATTTTTTGCATGCTAAAAAAACTTAAAGATGCAAGATTATACACTAAGATAGAAAAGTGTATATTTCATATTATTCAAGTTGACTTCTTAGGATTTTCATCAAGAATTTTTTTAAGTTGCAACTTCTCTTATACGTTTAATATATAAAGATAAATTTGAGTAGAACAAAGAAGCTGAAGCATCATTTAAAACCTTGAAGACAATATTTATTTTTATATTCATTTTATATTACATTGACTTTTTTAATACATTCTTTATGAAAATAGACACATCAAACATTCCTATCAATGTGATTATGTGACAAGTGAGAGCAAATGACAAAAAAAATTTAATAGATTTTTATTCTAAAAATATTTTGACAATCAAGTTTAATTATAAGATCCATGACAAAGAGCTTCTTATAATTGGAGATTCATTTCAAAAATGGCGCCATTATCTTAAAGATGCTTTTGATTGAGTCACAATATTTATGGATCATAAAAATCTCAAGTATTTCTTATTAATACATGTTTTGAATTATTGCCAAATCTGTTGGAACATATCATTATCAAAATTTGATTTCAAGTTGATTTATCAATCCAAAAAATAATAAATTTTATCAAATTTCCTTTCTAAACATTCTCATCTTACATCCAAAGAAGGAGATTTAACTTTTGATCAACAAAGAATATTTTTCTTGAAGACAAAGCAATTTCATTTTCAATCAATAAAATCAAAATTGACTATTGATTCAATCTTTCTCAAGTAAGTTCAATTACTTATGTCATTTGATCTTCTTATTCATGATATTATAAATAATCCTTCTAATTCTTATGAAACTTTTAAGTTTAAGTTTTAAAATAATTTATTATATTTTAAGAAATAATTATATATTCCAAAAAATAAAGTATAATTATATATACTTCAAGCTCATCATGACTTTCTAATAGTCTAATATTTTGGATACAATAAGTCTTTGGAGCTAATATCAAAAGATTTTTGGTGGCCTAAAATGTAGAAGGAAGTCAAAGACTTTCTACAATCATGTGATGTTTGTTTAAGATTAAAAATTCTTTATCATCAATCTTATGGACTTCTTGAGCTATTACCTATTCCATAACAACCAAGGTCTATTGTTGATCTTTGTTTATTTGATCTACCTACAACAATAAAGGATCAACTAAAAGAAGTTTAAGAACTATAGAAAACCAACACGGATGCCTATCTTCAAAAGCAACCTCAATTCCATGTTGACAAAAAATATGGTTATTTAATCACAATATTAAAGATGATACTAAGATTGGAGAAGAAGGACAACTAATGCCTAAGTGGATTAGGAGTATTTTTTTTCTAATTTGTAAATTTGATTTGCTTTAAATTTTGTATAGTTATTATCAAGTAATAAGTTAGAAGGTATAAATAATTTAAATAATAATTAATAATAAAAATTATTATTATTAGTTTTTTTAATAAATTATAGAATTTATTTAAAATTTAATTAAAATTTGTTAAGATTTAATTGAAGTTTGATGAAGATTTAATTTTTAAAAATTAGGATTTATTAGGAATTTAATTAGGATTTATTTGGAATAATTGTAAGATTTACATATTATTTCTTTATATTTTTTATAATTTAATTATGATTTTTATGAATTATTTAAGATTTATTTGGAATTCATTAGAATATAATAAGATTTTTTTGAGATTTTTTTAAGGTTAATAAGGAATACTTAATATTATTGGAAGATTACATATATTATTTGAGATTATTAGAAAGGTGTTTCTAAACACCTTATACATTATTTTTAGATTATAAATCTAAATTCAAGGTAAGGTCAAATCATTCCATAGCCAAATACCTAATATATTTTGAAGTTGATTTTTACATAATACAATACTACTAATAAGTGTTTAGATTTATATTTAAGATTGAATTCTTGCTAATATTTTTCTTTGTGATCTAGAAGTTGTACAAAGCTTGAAAGAAGAATAAGATTGGTAAAGAAATCAAGAGATGAAACAAGAAGCAAAAAGAAAATTATGAGAAGTATATTCTAAAAAATTAATGTTGGAACTATTGAGAATATGCCAACATTTGAGATTATAGCATCTACATTCCCTTATATTCTTATGATATCCAACATCTATAGCAAGGATAGACTTGGATTAAATATTTTACTAAAATTAGAAAAGAATGTAAAAATAAATACTATAAGTAAAGATATATAAGGAAAAAATATTGGATTTATACAAAAAAAAAAAAAAAAAAAAAAAAAAAATCATTAACAAATTGAAAGGTAGAAAAAACTATTAGAATAATGGTTAAAATTATAAGATGTGGCACAAATGGCTTCAAATCAAAACTTAAAGAAAAAAAAAAAAAAAAAAAAAAAAAAAAAAAAAATCAGGCATAATACTATAAACAACATATAAAAAAGTAATTTTTTTTCCTTCCAAAAGTATTATTTTCATATAAATAATTAAATGAAATTAATTATTTGAAACTACTATGAATGATGTAATATTAATTAGAGACTATAGAAGTATATTCACTACTAGAATTAATGCAAAGTCACCTCAAAGAACAAAAAATAGAAAAAAATTCAACAATAAAAAAATTAATAAATTTAAAAAGATTTTACTTTTATGTTGAAGAAATTAAATCCTTATGGATTAGAAAAAATCATTTATAAAAGTAAGTAAATACTTGAATGATGATGCTTGCCAATACTCAGAGTTAAATTGACCACACAAGTCACTATGGACAAGTTCAAGTGATGGATAAGTAGTTCTAGCAAAATTCTTTGGACATTACAATGATGATGCTTGCCAAGAATGCAACTATTATATTAGTGCTTTATTAAAAAAAAATAGTAAGACTGTTATTTACTAGTTGTTTGTTGGAGATTTGATAAATTGCCTAAAAATCAATGTATCCTAATTAATGGTACCTTAGATCATAAGAATTTTTTAGTGCTAATTCTTGAGATTTTGAAACAATAGAAAAAGTAGATACTATTGCAAGGTGACAAATAAATAAAGTTGAGATGGAAATAGTTGGAACTCTAACAAAAACAAAAGAAAAAATATATTATTGTGATAACCATTGTGAGCACAATCAATGGTACATTGGCTTGTTGATTTTATTATAATTGCTTAATTTTAGTATTAACTTATGTAGTTATTGTGGCAATAATGCTATAAGTATTAGATTTAGATAAAAAAAAGCCTCTTAAGGCTACTAATTGATAGTTAATCAACATAACTAATAGGTAGTTGTTAGTCATAAGTTAAGAAGATTGATACCAAAATTAATCTTAGAAGTAATTTAGAAATAATTTATTTTAAATAAAAATTACCTATGCTTCTAATCCTCATGTGTATTACATAATTTTGTAGATTGAAGCATGTGCATTGTCAATTTGAACTTAAAATTGTGCTTTGAAGACAATGGGGAAATTAATTTGGCCAAAAAAACAACTTTATGGGTCAATTATTAGCTATTAGGTATAATCTCAACTTTTTAAAACTTTATACAATAGTTAGCATAGTAAAAAATTGATCAATTTTCACATTCTTTTGTTAAATGATATAAGAATTGAAAATATAAATTTATGAATTTTAATTTTTTAAATCATGCTAAAACAAAAAAATTATTAACAATTTCATGAGATTTTCACTTGAAAATTTAAAAAATATATTAAAAAATATTTGTCTTTATTATTAACAACGTCCATTGATACAAATAACTATTAATTAATGATAAAATGATTTATAGAAAATAAAAGAAAATAAAAGAAAACTCTATTTTTTACAAAGTTATAAAGAACACAAAGACACTATTGCATATTCTACAATAAGATTATATTTTCTTTACATTTATAAAGCCTATAAATTAAAACATAAGACAAGTTAAAAACTCCAAATGCAAAATAATTATTTTTCTAATAGTAAATAAGATGCAAAGAAGATTTAAAATATTTTAGATCAAATGATGTTTTAAAAAGAAAAAAAAAAAAAAAAAACATACAATATCATTATAACTGATCTTGAGGATGTGGTTACACCAATGACCAAATAAACCATTAAGACTATTAAAGTAGATCAATCTATCTCTTCTTTTAATATACACCAATGGTAGATGGCAACCAACTATTAATCACTTCATCGTCTCTTGACACCACAACAAATGAAAAAAAAATGTTTAGAACAACATTGTTCCGATATAGAAGTAAATGCTACCTATGTTGTTATATGTGCATTTCATCTACATAAAAACGGACAGAATTAGTTTTTGTTCCAATTCAAATTTACCTATGATAGAACCTTCTTTCTAGATCTGTTGTTCTTTAAGCACACACGATACTGACACTCATGCAGAACAAAACATCAAAATACTCCAGCACAAAATTATATATGCTTTCAACAAATAATTTGTAAATTGAAGAAAATAGAACCAAATATAAAAGTGTAAAAAAGCTACAATTTTAAGCGTTGATACACTTCCAGACATTAATATAAGTGCATCAATAAGCAAACATTTAACAGCCAAAAGAACGAGTACGTTCCACTGAAAAACAGCATAAAAATGCTATATTGATGAGACTCCAATAAGACAAGGTAGATTCCCTCACTAATCAATACTTTGTGTCCTTCAGACTCAAACTAATACTAAGAACCTCTCGATTGTATCAAACAAACGCCAAGACTGATTGTGCTGATCTGAAGCACTGTTGTCTGCATAAACATCAATTAATCAAACTCATGATCCTTTTTAAACAAGTACACTCATGCAATTGTCCTAGGCACAAACCAAAAACAATGAAACTAAAACAAAACAAAAAAAAAAAAAAAAAAAAAAAAAAAGACCTTCGTTTTGATTGTGTACCTAAACAGCCCCATAACTGAGTCCATCAGAACTTCGTGGCAGCCTTTGGCTATGGTTGCCGCTGCCGCTACTCGAGCCGCTGTTGGAGATAATGATATTAGTAGCATCAGTAGCAGGGACATACCCACCCCGATCTCCGCTTGTCTGCACACCAAATGCAATACCTCGTTTACAACTATCCGAAAATATTTCCAAGCTCATTTCAAGGTCTAGGAAAACAAAATGAAGACCCAAGTCCAACACCTTCACTTTACTCACAATTCCATGTTAATAATTTTCCACAGCGAGCCAAATTTTGTAATTAAACAGCACGCCCCCCAATAGTAGTTACTGTACACTTACAGACTCTACGAAGCCCACAAATGAAGAGAAGCCTGGTACCGCGTCCAAGCCATGCTACAAAAACAAACTTTCACATATTAGTTTCTTCACCCATGAAGACCGTCACTAACTGAAACCAAACAATCATAGAAAACTTGACACGTGAGCCTCTTCTGTTACCCAACAGGTAGTAATTGCTAAAATGACTTCTGGGAAGTTATACTCAACATCTTAGAAAAAAAGTGCAAGATGTAATAAGAAGGAGCTAGTAATTGAAAAACCAAAGTAGGCTTGTATGCGCCACTACATCCTATTCTGACCAGATAGTAAGATAAACACATGTTTGTGAAGCTAAGACTAGACGTGGAAAATGAACTCACCTTGTCTTCAATCCTAGTTTTGTAAAGACAACCAGCACAGCAGAACATGGTAAGCCCCACAATTAATCTGTTGAAATGGATAAAACATGTCCAACATCATTATTAACATATAACACTACACCAGGAAGCAACTTTTAACAATCACTGAGAAGGCACTACTTCAGATTCAAAGAACTTGATAATTGTCCTCTACAAGATACTAGGTTACAGAAAGTTTAGCTCGTGAATTCACACTAAAGTAGTGTTCAACATACTTCTTCAAAAGTTTACGGGTGAAAGCTTCACAACCATGTGTTTATGAAGATAAAACCAACCGAGATAACCATCTCTACTTCGGGGTTGCTTCAGTATTAGGTGCTTCTAACAATTCAAACAACTTCTTGTTCTAATCAAGGAATATCCAAGGAAGTAGTGTTTCTAAACAGGATCCAAGAATATCAGCGTGTGATTCTACCAAGCATTACTAACTGGAACTTGGTGGACATCAAGAGTAATTTTCATGCAAATAAGTAACTTACATAAACATCAAGAAACCAAAAGTTGCCCATCCACTTGAACCGCTGCGCTCCACATCATCTTCGTAATCTGCACCCACAAGATTCCACCTTCAAAAATACTAGAAACAAAAAAGAAAGAAAAGCGATGCTCATACTTTGGGAAGGATTTAGAAATTATCAAAACTCTTAAATGATTGAATGAATTGGGAAGCTTTAAATATTTCAGAGCTCATAACGGCCAATAGTATACACTAGTAATAATCCAAAACAGAATCATAACAAGTTAAATTCGGTCATACACAATGGTTCGTACTATTCAGCATGAAGGAAGATACACTGAAGACATACCGCAGTGTTTGCCCAAAGTGAACACCACAGGGTTATAATCTGCGAAAGGAATGGTCACATTCACCAAGTAAGGCGTAGGTGCCTTTTTTTCACCTGCACATATATAAAGCGGAGAACAAATAAACAAAGAAAAAGGAGGAACTGTTAAGGACGTAGAGTGCAATACAATAATACAGCAATATAAAATCGAAACTAAAATATGACAGTCCTCTAGTATAAAATCACATTCAACCCTTCTTCAATCGAAAGACCTCTCATACACTTATCCAGTGAGCACTTTTCCCAACTAAATCACAGATATTACAAAAGGTATTGAAAACACAGAAACAGACATACATCGCCAGTTAACTTCCAAGATGGTAGGTGACTCGACGGTAGGAGGCAGCCCATTCGAAGCTGTCCCTGAGAGTTCCACTTTCAAACCCGTCTCTGGATACAACTACACAACCCCATAAATGAAATGTAAGATCGCTACTTAAACCATAGCGACTAAAATCCCCTGCAGGGTTGGCAGTACAGCGATAACTTCAGAAAGAGTAATCTTGCAAGTCCCTAGTGGGGTTTTGCAAGGTTAGTGGAGATTCAAATGAAATTTTCAGTCACGTACCTTGTACTGAGGCTTCCCAATTTTGCTTGCTAAAATGCTTCGTGCCGTGAAATATACAAGAACCCGCGATTGTTGTGTTACAAAACTACACTCGAAAAGAGTGCAATCAGGAGGTTAGAAGTACTAAATAAAAAGATGTTGTAAATACGCCAAAACACATTTTATACTCTAAAAAAAAAAATTAAAAATAGTTAAAACCAGAGGGAAAGGAAAACTCATCAGCTCAAGTATTCTCGCACATAAAAACATTACAAAATGACGATATGAATATATTCACGTGCATGAGAAGTTAGAGCGCCGAAGTAAGTAATACGCTGTGATATCTATGTGATACACATTTGCCTTTATGGTTCAAATCAATGCCAATCATACCTAAAATCAGAGTGTAAACTTTCATAACCCCATTGTGTAATACCATTATCAACCTGCCAAAGACAAAGAAGAATATAGGTTTTATTCAGTGGACACGCCTCAAAATGCAGTAAAAAATCAATAACAACGAACTTCTCCAGTCAGACATATCCGAAGTCTATAACAAGAAGTTACATGATCAACAGACCCAGCAACCCAAAACATCACTTTTTTCACCTAACAGTATCAACTTACCACTTCTTTACCCCGGGGACTAAATCCAACAGTAAATCCGCTGAAAACTCGAGGCCCTTTCAGCTTCACACAATTCAGACCCATCATCACAGTAGTCCTGGGATTGAAGAAAATAATGGTGACATAAGCAGCAATCCATTAATAAAACTTCCAAAAGCTTTAGATTTGAGACAACTACTATTTTGGGTTAAGTATGACTCATTCACAATACCTAGTGTACACAAAATTCAAGATGTCGCAGGTTGTATCAGGGTTTAATCCAACATCTCATTAAAATATGACAGTATTAAGAGGAGAAAAAACAATGGGCTGATGAGCTTACAAACATTTTGACGGCTCTGATTCCACGTGGCATATGCAACCGTCGTGATCTGCTAGGATACATCAACCTCACTAAATATCAACGCAAAACACCAAATCTCAGCCGTAAGATGGGAAAACCAGAACTATGTGCACAACAAAGATTCAAATTTTTTAACTTACTGTAAGCGAAAGACAAAGAAATCCCTCAAACAGACTGTATTGCAGATTTCGGCCAGTAGAAATTGTTCACCTTGGCATGCATTTGAATTGGGACATGAACCACACATGACGGAAACCTGCGTTTACACTGAGTCTTGGAGATGAACACAACAAAAGAAAAAAACTGGTGCATAGAACAATAAATCGTAGAGTAAGCAATCGGAATCTTGAAAAAAAAAAAAAAAAAAAACCCTTGAAAAATTTTAAATTTTAAATTAAAATATGGAATATCTGAATATTTTAATTTAAAATTAAAACAAAAGACCACGAGTAAAATTGTTCGGTCTAGTGCCATGGAGCTCCTGCCGCTGTAGTCATAACCTTCATGTTCACATCCTTTCAAGTCACCGTACCTGTATTCCTGTAAAAATAAAACGACTATCGACTAATCAATTATACAAGTCAAATACCTTCCACCATTAAGAATAAGCACAACATCCAGCATTTGTTGGTGTGTTCAAAGAGATTTACCATCACATTTAAACCAGTTCAACATTTAGCAATTAATATTTAAGCCAAGGGTCAAGAAACGATCAAATTGGTGTGAGAGAACGAGTGATGTATTCAAGACATAGAAAAACGGTATAAATTACGATTTGGAGAAATGGAAGTCCAGATTCAAATAACATGAACAGTTCGGTCAAAAAAACACAAGTACACTTACGTGAACAAAAGCAATAGTAGTATCCTGCGCGGAAGAGTACTCCGGTGAGAAGCGACCATAATTTACAATTGACTGCATGCCACGTACACATATGAGAAAGTTGACGTCGATATGTGGATTTAATCAAAGGACCAACGCGAAGTTACAAAAAGAGAACTTAAAATGCTCAAAAAATAAACGGTAATATAAAAGCATTACCTGGCCAGATCTGACTTGCATGTCTTTGCAAAAACGAAGTGTGTATGTTGACCCATCCTAATTTATCAAAACAAACAAAGAGTAAGTAAACTTAACCCCACAGTATTGAAAAGCATCAAAATCACAAACTAAAAGTATGACACCAAAGTATCACAAAGATGTAATGGTATCTGCACATGAAATGTTCAATAATCAAGATTCCGAAGAATACCTGCGCCTCAGTATATTGAAACTCCTTGCCTATCCAATCTGTCTGCGGTTGCAACTCGTTAAGAAAATCGTCCACAAATTATACCAGTAAGAATATACGTCCTATATATCCTTAACACATGACTTTCGAAACACAGCACTTTCCATATCCAGCAACCCTGTTCTACGACATACTTATGTCTTGAAAACGATCACATAAGTACTGGGAAAGAAAGGATACGAAATCATAGAGAAAATTGTCCTTGTCCAGTGTGTAGCACTCTGAGCGTAGGCTCTGAAATGACGTTGCATGATGTGCCAAAGAAACTACAAGCACTGCTTTACAGTCATGCAAGGTATTAGAAACTTTTCCTCTGCACCTGGTGTTTGTTTTCAGTATCAATAGTGTTCCCTACATGCATTGTACACAGCTTAAACCACGATCCTTCCTGATTGTCTTTAAATGTTGAAGCAGCATGATAGCTAATCACTCCAGGGTATATCATAAAATTAAGCAGAAACTGTCAGTCAAGGTAAAGCAAAATCCGGCACTCAATTGCAGCACTGACCTGCAAGGAGTAGCCTGCACGGTCGGTATTCATTGTACAACATTGAAAACTCCATACTGAATGAATCACAAAAGAAAGTTACAGGCAAGGTCGCTTATCATTGTTTACCCAATTCCTCTAGGAGAAATTTGTGCGCATTCAATCTAGACTAGTTTCACTGCAAAAGCAACAACATTGAGAAATTTAGATAAACATAATCGATTAGAAACTCGGGATTTCTCTATACAAGACCAAGCACAAAATTAAAGTAAAGAAAAATAAAAACGAGCAACAAAGCGCTTTCTTACGAGTAGTGAAACGAACACCACTCATTCACTACAGCGAATCATATTTCCAATGTGTTGATTGCCTTCCCTACCAGAAACTAGCACACATGTAGACACAAAAACAGAACGTCTTATGCGCATGAGTTCCTAAAACCCTGAAAACATTTTTCTCCCTCTTCAAAAAAACCTTCGTTCCATCCTTTTAAATCTTGGTGACTCTGCCATCACATTACGAATGTCTTCAGTAGTGACCGTCTCAAATCCGAGTGTCGTTTTCTATCAAGATGTCCACAAACAAAATTCGAATTCACTACCGTGTGTCCATTTCAGACGTAAACTGTACTGGATGTTAGTTGGAAAGCTTTCAACGAATGCAGGAGCAAGAATTGAGTCTTGAAAAATACAAGGGACAGTCGCAAAAAAGAACACAAAGATACCGGTACTCCATGTCTATGACCTACTGTACAACTTGCACACATAATAGAACTATCAAAAATTCAAAATTTCAAAATTTCAAAAAAAAAAAAAAAAAAAAAAAAACACACAACAACAACAACTTTAGTTTTGAACAACTCGGAAGCCTGAATCGAATTAGAAGATATTTGCGTGATGCGGTTGCAAAAATTCGAATAATAATGATAAAAATTCATCACTTCTGCCTACACAAATGCGACTCAAACAGCTTGCCTCTTGATCATCTCTTTTCAGGAATCACTTATCGGCACCACTCCCATTTGTTACTCATTTGCTACTCCCTTGAGCTCCCCTACACTAAAAGAGAAGATCTCTGGCCCGGCAAGCATCAAAACCTGTAATCAATCCTTTCTTCTGCCTCCCTCTGTTTTTACTTCCAACGTCTTATCCACTCTGTTCCAAGCAAAAATCAAGTCGACTCCAAAATCCAGCATGGATGCTCTCCTCCGCCAAGCTTATGCCACTCTGAAACCCTCACAATCACAAAATACTACCGATTCAATTTCTACTTCAAAATCAAAAAACCGTGTCGTCCAGTTTCCCTAGTCCTAAACAAAGAGCATCGAGAATTTTAAAAAAGAAAAAACTTAAGATCCACAAACACGATCGTAATACCTCCCAGACGCACAACCGTCGAATCAAAGCGGACTTAATGCTTCAAAAGTATACAATAGCAATGGAGTTGAGCTGTCCTGCAAGAGTGCCGCACTCAGAAGCAGCAGCAGCCACAACCCGCAGCCTACCTTTCTTTCGAGAGAGAGAGAGAGAGAGTTGGAAGCAGCAGCAGAACAGGAACCCGGCGAATTCGACAGAAATCGCTGTCGCTCTCGCATCTATCACCTTCTGTCTCCTTCCTTCCTCCTCCTTCCGCTAATCCGTCGCTGCAGCTGCAGCGAATGCGATGCAAATTCCAAAAGTGAGTTGTATTCCAGCTGGTATTGTTGGATCATTGTTCCACACAATCCGTCTTCTTATTCTTCTTCGCCACTTCCATGCCCTGTTGAATGCTTCCTCCTCTTCTCCTCCTCAGTCTCCATTTCTTCGTCTTCGTCGTCATCTCCGCCGCCTTCGTTGCCTTCGTTGTCTTTGAATTCTTCGTCGTCGTCGTCATCTCCGCCGCCTTCGTTGTCTTTGAATTCTTCGTCGTCGTCGTCATCTCCGCCGCCTTCGTTGCCTTCGTTGTCTTTGAATTCTTCGTCGTCGTCGTCATCGCATTTGCTGTTTTCGTCTTCTTTGTCGTCGTTGTTATATTCTTCGTCGTCGTCGTCATCGCATTTGCTGTTTTCGTCTTCTTTGTCGTCGTTGTTATATTCTTCGTCGTCGTCGTCATCGCATTTGCTGTTTTCGTCTTCTTTGTCGTCGTTGTTATATTCTTCGTCGTCGTCGTCATCGCATTTGCTGTTTTCGTCTTCTTTGTCGTCGTTGTTATATTCTTCGTCGTCGTCGTCATCGCATTTGCTGTTTTCGTCTTCTTTGTCGTCGTTTTTATATTCTTCGTCGTCGTCGTTGTCCGCATCTCCTTTGTCGTTTTTTTCTTTTTTCTTTTTTCTCTCATATTTATTATATAGAATGTAGCATGAATTACATGTGAATTGTATTGTATTTATTGCATGTCATAAGTTGGGTACTTTAGTTTTTAAAAAATAAAAAATGATAGACTTCAGTTGTAAATTGTTGAGAAGAAACTATTTCATTGTTTATGTATGTATGTGTATATATATATATATATATGTATATATTTAGTAAATACTTGCCACAATAATACAATTTTAGGCCAATAAAATATTTAATTAAGAATCAAGAGTTTATTCAAGTTACTGTTTTAACACTGTTAACTTTTTAGTCAAGAGAAAATCATAGGTGTATGTGGAACTTCATTCCATTTGCAAAAAGTGGACCAAAGTTGATTAATAATTGAGAAAAACCTATTTAAAGTTATCAAACAACCCTCAAAATATTTCACAATTTATTTTTATTTTTTTTTCTATTTTCAATAATTGAATAGTATCACAAAGTCAATATCTCCAAGATTAAAAGTTGTCACTATTAATTTATTAATTAATATTAGTATTTTCTATTACGTCTACATACATCCACCATTATCAAATAGCTGTCTATACATGTCATTCTCTTGTCTTGTTGAAAAAAATGGTTTTTTCTTTTGTACAGATAATATTTATCCTTAAATGTAAAAAAAATAAACCTTCCAAAACATGTTGACTTTGCAATGAACGTATCTTAACTTGCAAGGCAAGTTTTTTATATGTATGTCAAATAGTTAGCTTGTTCCACAAGCTACTAATATGTGGTTAACTTAATTAACCTACCAATTAACTATAATCACATGTAAAGTCAAAGCAAAATCTATAAAGCTTCTAGGAAGCTTTTCAAGAAGGTATAATGAAATTAATCTATTTTTATCTATTTTTACCTATTTCTACCTAATCATATAGGTATTTATTAGAATACCTATATGTATTTGTGACAATATATATGTATGTATACACACACATACACACACACACACACACACATATATATATATATATATATATATATATGCAAATATATTAATTAAGTATGTATGTGTAAAAATTTTACGTATTATTTTATTTTTAAGATCCAAAAAATCTACTATGATGAGTCATCAAATCATTTTCAGCAAATTAATCAAAATATAATGCAAATGTGTATGCTTTTGTCAATGATGTTTATTGAAACATCAATTTTTTTTATTTATTCAAGACTTTTGTCATTAAAAAGTCTACAAAACTTTTTATCTGACACCTATTCAAGGTAAATTAATCAAAGGTAATCTTACAAAAGCAGAATTTTTATAATAAAATTTATCAAGAATAATTGTACATAAAGCTAAATGTAATCTGGCCATACATGCTAAAATATGTACAAGAGTTATAATTTGTTTAAATCAACAAATTAAAAACAATGTATTTAGTACAATAAAATTACTTAATTTTACTCTCATTAAATACATCATTGTATATAATATCTTATGAAGAAACACATGCATGATAATGTTTTTATGGCTAAATACATAATGAAAAAATGTAGGTGATAAAAAAAATTAAAATTTAATTCAAGATACATCATTTATTGTCTATTTTGTATCTTTGAGGTGCTTTATATACAAAATTATTAACAAAAAAAGAAAATTTATTATATATTTATATATATATATATATATATATATTGAGTGTGTGTGTGTGTGTGTGTGATATTCAATGTGTTCAACAAAGGAATATTTATAAAATTTACAATTATATTTTAGTAATATTCATAACAGTACTAAACCTAACAATGCCATCAACCAAAAAAGCCAAAAACACCATTTAAAAATATATTTTGACACATCCTAAGATTTAAATGGATAGGATCAATCATTTTAATCAACTTGTCCTGGTAATAAATGTCAAGGGTATAAGATTATCATCATAGATTTAAAAAAATACATAACTTATTAAAAAGGTAAAACCACCCAAGTATAACTGTAACATTTACTTTTGACATGTTGGCTTGTTGAACCTTTTATATCAAACAAGCACCTTTGGCATTCATTTTTTACAGCAAACTACCAAATCTAACTTAATTTATGCAGTTTGAAGCTAACAAAAGCTAATATAATCATAGTTCGTATTTTCTTGTTTTTCTCAACCACATAACATCTGGATTAGAATTCCTTTGAAATTCATGTTTAAAAACAATATTCAAGCTGTCTATATGATTCTCAGAGTTACTTCAACTCATAATATCGATTTGTTTTTGGATCATAATAACAACCTAAAGTGAAATCATATAATAAATCTAAATCTTCATCAAGATGCCCATTGTTCATGGTAATTTGTTGACCTGTTGAAAATTTAAAAAAAAAAAAACAAAACCAAAAAGCATGAAAAATCTTTTGAATACAGTAACAAGATTGTTTTAACAAGCATAATCATTTATTTTTTCTGCTACAAAATATAAGTACTTGAATGATTTGAACTATGCATATGACACAATGTTTTATGATTATGCAATTATTAATAGACATTAAAGCATTTTACTTAATTTTCAAATGAGATGATTGTAAAGGTTATTAGAAGCAATCTAAGATTTACCATCATTTGCTTCCACACAATTTGTAATCTCCTCTTCTTTGTCAAGTTCACATTCATTTTGCAATGAAAATGGTGATTTTAAGCATTCATTAATAGAATCCATAGAATCAGATGAAGATGGTGTGAGCATTTCTTCTGAATGTTTTTGAGCATCCAATGTCAAAGCTCTCAACCCTCTAAAATCAAAAGCATTCATTGTGTCGTTGGTATCAAAATTAATCATATGTAAACTCAAATTCATGGCAATAAACCCAAAAAATTCAAATGATTTTTTTATGCAATACTCACAACTAATTACATTTTACAAAACTGGTTTTAATCAGTTAATTGTATATTTTTTTATCATTATAGTAAACACAAGCTTTGGTTAGTAGCACATGCTTTTGAAATCGTGGTGATTGGTCCATAGTACATGATTTGGAAGAGTACATATGGCCATCAATTGTATTGCCATCAAAATCAATTGAATCATGACCATCCATATCTTCATTTTTTACCTAGATAGAAAATTAATATGTAATTAGCTTTTATATATATATATATATATATATTTATGCACACACATACATACATACATACATTTGAAACGGGTTTATTTCTTGCATGATTAAGTAAAAATAATGCCATTTATGCAAATAAAAATAACACCTTACTTCATTCTCAAGTGTTTTTAATTCTTGTGATGTGTTTTCCAAGTTTTCTTGAGAATCTACATTCATCATTGAAATCATTGTTATACTTGGAATTTAATTAGTAACTACTTCAACTGAAATTGGAAGACCATCATCATTTAAGATATAAATATTCAAATTATTGTATAATAATTATTACAATCTTATAATATAAGAAAAAAAAATCACATGGTTTTATTTCAATACTAATATTATCAAAAAATAGTAAATAATTAATAATTAAACCAAAAATCAAAGTAGAAATTAATACTAATTGTGTCTACATTATATACATGGCTTTCTAAAGAACATTATTTACTTTCAATGTCATCAAACACTTTCAAATATTAGATATCAACTACTTTCAATAACCATATATAAAACATAAAGTAGTAAATTATCAAAACAAAATTAAGCATAAATAAAGAGAGTAAAAAACTTATTACCTTGCCCATGTTGAGAATCATTGGATGACCAACTTGGTCTTCCAAAGCTATCAACCTCATCAGAAAATGTTGTGGCAAACTCAGAATCATGAAACATAAGATTATCATTGGTTCCCAAATCAAACATTTCATTTGTGGGTCTTGTTGGCCTCAGCCTATCATTTGTAGAATCACCCACATTTTTAGATGCAAGTAACACCCTGTCTTTCATGGAATGTTTGGTTAGCAAATTGTTCAAACAATACTGATTTTCATTAGAACATGCCAAATCCTTTGCCATGTTGGACTCAATCTCAAAGTCATGCAAAGATTTTGTTGAATGAATGTCTTCTGAGGTAAGTGATTGGGCATAGTGTGTATCTTCAGGCACCTCCAAATCATTTCCGCTAGCAAATGATTTGTTAAAGAATGAAGGCATTTTGAAGCTTTTTTGGGCCTCATCATCTTCAATATGACTTGTCCAACCACAAGGAGGGCTCTCTGGTGGAGAATCCATGTATTTGCTGTGTTTATACTCTTTTTTCTTTTCACTAGCCACATAACAGCTTCGTCTCAAATATTTTTTAGAGCCTGTTTTTGGAGAGTGTAACTTGAACTCTTCTTGTAGCCTCATGCTGTGAGTTGGAGATTCTTGCTCAATAGCTTTGTTAGTGTTTGTTTCAATTGTTTTCATATTCAAAGCTGCAATATCCAAGGCTTCAAATCGAGGTGTTTGCTTTGAATGAACTTTTGGCTTTTGCAAATTGTTGATTGTTGGACCATCTTTTGGAATTGAATCAAAAGTGTCTTCATTATTCATGGATGTTAGTACCACATCATCAATAGAGTTGGCTGCAGATAACTTCAATGAACAATTGGAAGCCTTGAAAGAGGTTGAAGTAATCAAGTTTGAAGGCATATCAACATGTTCATCAATTGTTGAGTTTTTCTTTTCATGTGATATGCTCGAAAGGTCTTTTTTGAATTTTAACATTCCATGATTTCTGTTGAATGCATTTGCATGTTTTAAAAGGTTCTGTAAAGTTTTTGTTTTGTTTTTATCAACTTTGGTGTCCAGCAGTAATTTTTTCTCACATGAGTTAGAAGACATCTCAGTTTGAAAAGGAAAGTTTTGACCATCTGGCTCACTTCTTTCTTGTTCTTTTTGAAGGAATTTGTTGGTATGAAGTTTGTGGTCACCTAATAGATTTGTGTTGATTTGAACTGTGGACAATGGTAAAGGCATTCTAGATCCAAATGCCACATGTACCTGAACCAATGCAATGAAAATATCATTAATGTGATTGTGATTGTAAAACTCAATTTTTCTATAATTCTAGTTTCAAACATAGATTAAACAAGAGGGCATTATATGCATACAATTCAAATGTGCTTTTGTTTTTATTGATTTGTCTTCGTGTTTCTAACCTGTCTAGGTTCCAATTTGTTTGATTTGTTTCTTTGAGTTTTTGTTAAATCCCCTGGTGTGCCTGAAATGAGACAAAACTACAAAACCATTAGTGTCAATTTCAATTATTTGAAAAACATGTATCATATTATATTATCATATGATTTGTAATTTGTTAATTGAATCAAAATCATATAAAAAAAAAAAAAATCATATCAAATCTTCTGAAAAATATTTTACCATTTGAGAGATCCAAAGAATTTTTGGTGATCATTGGCAAAGAAGTTGTATCTAAAACTTGAATTGCATTGTCTACACCAAGTGCAAACATATGTTCTGGAGGTAGAGAATTTTCTGCACAAGAACTAGATGAATTGCAATCCCTTTCTGCATCAACCAATCGATTGCGCATTGTAAATATTTTTCGAAGTTTGCAGACTGGTCCCAATACTATTGCATCCACGGAACTGCGAAATCAAGTATTAACACGATATTTTAAATCAGTAAAATAAAGCACATGTATGAAAATACTATTTTGATGCACAAAAAGTAATGAAAAAATTTAAAATTTAGGCAATCAAATTATTTTAAAATTTACAAGTTATGATAGTTCCAGATGTGAAATAAAACTACCATTTTTCTGCATTTTATGTACTTAAATACATAAATGATATAAAAGCATGTTCAATGCAAATATTCACAATACGTAAAATTGTACCGAAACACCCCGCATTTGAAACAATGCAAGAAAAAATCTGCAACGTGAATTGATAAAGATAACCAAATGTCTCTTTTGACCTGCAAGAATATAATAAACATAAAAATAAAAATAAAAATATATACATGATCAATATTATAATGTATAAAAAAGATAAGAAATGTTTTTTTTATTTTGTTTTAAAGATAGGATTCTAATATCTTTTAATTTTAATTATAGGTTGGTTTTATCATTCTAAAATTTAAATTTAATGATTTTTATTATACGTATATATATATATATATATATATATATATATACATATATATCAACCAGTGATCAAGAAATTAAATTCGTTATAAAACTAGGAAAGCCTACCATTGTAATTGGAATCTGACAATGAAGTGGTGTGGATTTGACATCATTGAACGATGTTGAAAAATACATTTTCCGCCTTGTATTTGTTGTATCAGATATCCTATTTATACATAAAACATTCAAAATCTACTTGCAAACAACCTTTTCAAGGTACCATCACTTACAAATATCAGATAACGTAAACATCCAATTGAATCTAAAAGATGAATGAATCTTGTTTGGATCACACTTTAGGTAAAATATAAAACAAATCATGAAATATTGGAGATGGTCTAAAATAGATTATACCTTAGTTCTAACGTCAAAGGTTGGCCGCTTGGCACAAAAATTTGGAATACCACAAAAGGTTGTAACAAATGCAAACCTGCAAGATAAAAGTCATTTGATCAACTTAAGTACCATTGTTAGATTTTTTATTTTTTTATTTTTTAAAATTTTTCCTTATAAATATACTAAAGTTATGTATGTGTGTCTGGAGGTGTGCGTATATATATATATATATATATATACGTAAATATACAAGAATTCATCTTTCATATTTCAAATGCAATGACAATGGAAAAACCTGTTTTGCATTCATCTTTTGGAAGTTGAATTTTCGATGTGGGTCCGCCATAAAGACTGTAAACGTAGGTCTTTACTGTTTTGTCATATACCTGTAAACAAAAATTGAAGAATAAGTTGTCAAAATAATAACATTGAGTTATGAATAATGTGTACGGTTTTTTTACTGTTTTAAAAAGATTTTGTAACAAAAAAGGTGGTGAAAATTAATGATTAGATAAAAATATTGGTATGATTTAATATGTTGACACATTAGATTGGTATACCTTTTGAATACCTTTTCCACAAATTTTGCAATCGCCAATGGGGTTGCTACCCTAACAACACATGTGAAGAATAGTTGAAAACATGATGCACGATGATATTTAAAAAGGATTCAAAATCCTGCTTTGTGTAATAAGTTTGCAAAACATCATTGGTTTAATAGCACATACCCTGAACTCAATAAAAAGAGGATAAAACATCTAAAACCCTCTGACGTCTACAAAGTCTGCTAATTAGAAACACCTTTCATTAAAATGATTCCAATATTCTGATATAACACCAAGAACAACACCAGCCAAAACAATATCAAACAATCGCAAAGAATAATACAAAATAGTACACTCGTTCAAGTGCCCACAGCAGCAAAAAAAAAAATTGAAACACAGAAATGGATTGGTGATGGAGGAGAAGGCGGAGGAAGAACACTACTTGAGCACTGCAGACGTTAAAGGAGGCTCCATCTTGGTAAGGAGCTGACCGAACTCCCCGATACGGAAGGGGAGCCATGGCTACACTTGCGGACTCCACCAGGGGCAAGAACTGGGTAAGTGCTTAGAAGTTAGGGTTAAGCGGAAGCAGAAGAAGGAGAGGAAGAAAAGGACCCATGACCACACTTTCAGACTCCACCACTGGCAAACACGGCGTAGCGTATCTCCTCAGAAGTCAGGACGTAGAAGATGAAGACGATGAGCAAGAAGAAGAGGAAGACGCCGTAGCTGTGGATAGAGTCATTGCAAGAAGTGGGTGGCGCTGAGAATCTCTGGTTGGCTGTCCAGCACCTCCTGATTCTGTTTACAATTCTGGTTCTGCCGCAGTTTGGGGATGTCCACCCTTGTTCACCGTCTTCTTCTTCTGCTTCTTCTTCTTTCTCTTCTGGGTGTGGGCTTGGGTGCGGAGGAGATCCACGAGTTTCTTCTTCGTGTTTATCCTTCCCAATCCCTCACTCCCCATCGTTCGATCGTATTCCCTCTGTGCCATTTGTCGTCACCCATTCTGCGACAATTCGGGCACGCGATTCCACGCAAAAACATAAGCAAAAAAAATAAAAATGAAAGGATTCGTAGCCAGGGCTTGGCTGGTGGATGCTTGAAGCCAAACTGAGCTTCCCTGCAAAGGGAGGGAGGGCCACAAAGGAACGGTCATCCATCTGATCATCCGCATGTCTTCATCCATCCGGTTCTTCATCCAAGAGACCCTTGCTTGATGAACGTCGATGTTTCATGATTCAAAATGCTTCAAAATGCCTTTGCCACAAATTTTCATTGAAGAATTAATTAATTAATTACGTTGTCATGAGTCATCAAAAAGATAATAACTGGCTATTTTATTGTTAAGATAATGTATAATATGAAATTTAATGATACAAGTATACAATATGTTGAAAAAATAATAATTTTATTTATGAAAATAAAGTATTTAGTTCAGAATGTAAAAAATATTTAAATAATTAAAGTGTTTATTTAGAAATTGATGGAAATCAAGTAATTTTTTTGATACTATCATAAAAGAACAAATTGTTATGCATCTTTTGTTGCAAATTTAAACATAAAAGTATTAAAGTTGAATTATGATATACCTACTCTTCTACTTATACTTTATGGTTGGTAATGCAAACCTATCAATCTAATATGTGTACTTTAGGTAGAGTTAGATTAAGAATAAATTTTGATCAACCATGATAAAAAGTGTGGAAAAAATATAAAATCATTGGTTGTAGAATATTATAAAATATGTGTAAAGTTTTACAAAGACTTAAAAGATATTCCACCTTGTATTTGTCAATATACTAATTTAATTCTAGATAATCTCAATAATAGATAATGTTATAGATTAAATATTTTATTATATTTCCAAAATCATAAAATTGAATTTTAATTCAATTTAAAAATATTTAATTGATTACAAATAAAAGAATATTGTTAGAATTTTTTTATTCATAAAAAATGATATAAAATAGAGGTTATTGTAAATCTATCATTTTAAATAAAATAAAAAATTAAAATATTTTTAGACATATATATTAATATCATAATTTAATTAAATAATATTTTATTTATGCTTTACTATCAATTAACTTGTTAAATAAGAATACTATAATTAAATAGTTTTTTTTGGATATTGAGCTAGTTTCGATATAATTTTTTATTTTATTTATTTTTATATCTTTGTCTATTTTTTCATAATTAGCACTAATCCTTCTATACTTGATGTTATATCTTAAAATTAGAAATGTAAATTATCTTGAGTATATATATGTCATATCATATATATATATTATTTAAATTATATATATATATATATATATATATATATATATTATTCAAAATATTTTTTGAAGTTTGATCACTATCCTTCTATGTACTTTGTAATGCTTTGTCTGTGGGAGTAGACACATTGTATCAAGTAAGTCAGTAAAAGAATAAGTATTATCCTATAGCCTTGCCAATAAACAATTAAACCCTAAAAAAAAGAATTATACCACCACAAAAAGAAAATGCCTTGCCATGGTTTTTTTTTATTAAGAAGTTTAGATACTACTTCTTTAAAAATTAGATAGTATTTTTGTAGACTACATAGCAATTAAGTACTTTGTCAATAAAGTTGATTTGAGTAATAGATTGATAAGAAGTTTATTTTTTGGAAACCCTAATTGGCCAAAAAATCCCTAGAATTGGCTATTATTAATCCATAGTATTCTAAGATACGCATAAATATACCAAAACATGTAATACATGTCAATAATATACTAGAAATGATCTGAGGATGAGTTTACCTCTATATGTATCTTTACCTCTAGTTCCTTTTAAAAAATAGAAAATTCATTATATTGGTTAGATTTACCTCAATTTCACTAATGCAATAAAATACATAGTAATAGCAAGTAAATATTTAACAAAGTGGGCCAAGGTAAAGGTAGTTAAAGCCAACTAAGTCAAGCAAGCTACTTAGTTTTTTTATAAATAGATCATTATTAAATTTGAATATCTAAAAATCCTAATTAAGATTAGAGGCAAGCATTTTTTAAATGAGATAATAGAAGACGAGAAATTGATATAAAATTGATCATAGGAAGACTACTCTTGATCACCCTCAAATTAATAGGCATATAAAAAAGATCAATCAAACGTTAATTAATATTCTAAAGAAAATAGTAAGAATATTGTCATGATGTAACATGACTAATAGGTGAAAGGGGTGAAGAATCTATTATATTATAGAAGATTTTACTTCAAATATTATAGCAATTTATCTTAAAAAATACATAATAGTCCAAAAGAAAGTAGAACTAAAGGTTTAAATGCTACCTTTTTGCAAAGTAGGCTTCTATTTACTTTGTAAGGCCATAAATAAGACAAAATAAGGTAGTTTAGAAAAATAAAGAATAAAAGCATATATAGAAAGAAGTTAGGAGTTGATTGAAACAAAAATTAATTCAAAAGGGCAAAATTTGATATCCAAAGAGGACTAGTTATCAACTTAGATCAAAATCAGACCCTGAGACACAAAACCAAGCACCAAAAGTAACTTGAAGGTTCTTTGGCAGATCAGATAGTGGAATTTGAGAGAAAACTTGATAAATTTTCTATGAGCATTGATTTTGAGGGAATTGAGTGTGTAATGACTTTGCAAGAGCTTTGTAAAGTTACAGTTGTTTTCAGTGACTCTGAAATTTACAAAATAAAAATGATATTATATTTTAGAAAATTTCATGAATTTGGTAGTAGATATACAGTTTAAATTTTGAAGACTTATGTAAATAGTTGTCTCAAGTCTATGTTGTAAGTTTGAGCTAGATCAAATAATTAAATTGAAGGCTATTAAATTTTAAGTAGGTTGAGGTCTCAAAAATTAGACTTTGAGAGACAATTAGGGTTTTTAAGATCTTTAGCAATCTATTAATTGGATTGGAGTAAAATTTATGTTTAAAGATAATAGATTTGATTTTCTATATAATTGTGAAATTTGAAAACTATTGAATAGTTTGGTAAGGAGATATTGGCACTAGAAATTCAACATTTAGATTGGAATAGGAGGCTAGCCAATATCCGAGCAGATTTTAGGATTTTTCTTTCATGTGGTACATAAAACTATCTTCAAAATTTTTGTACTTATTGCCAACTCAGTTGTTGAAAAGAATGAAATTTTTTAAGTAAGATCAACAATCCAATTGATAGATATTGAGGTTCTAAATAGTGCTAGGATTAGATTGAATTGATTAGGATTTGATTTAGGATTAAGATTTGATCTAGAATTTGATTTGATTTAGGATTAAGATTTGATCTAGAATTTGATTTAGGATTTAAGGTTAGGATTTGGTTTAGGATTTGATTTAGGATTTAGTGTTTGTATAAGATTAGGTTTAGAATTTAGGATTTAATTTAGGATTTAGGATTTTTTTAGGATTTGATTTAAAATTTAGAGTTTGATTTAGGGTTTAGGATTTGTCTAGGATTTGATTTAGGATTGGATTTAGGATTTAGGATTTTATTTAGGATTTGGTTTAGGATCTAAGATTTGATCTAGGATTTGGTTTAAGATTTGGTTTAGGATTTAGGATTTGATATAGGATTTGGTTTAGATTTTAAGATTTGTCTAGTATTTGATTTAGGATTTGGTTTAGGATTTGTTTTAGGATCTAGGATTTAATCTAAGATTTGATTTAAGATTTAGAATTTATTTAGAATTTGATTGAAGTCTATTAGGGTTTTAACTAAGATTAAATTAGAACTTGATTGAGATTTATTTAAAATATATTTTTGATCATTTTAATATTTTTTAGGGCTTCTTAAGGATTCTTTTAAAGTTTATTGTCGATTTCCTTTCATCTCCTTTAAGATTTCTTATTGTTTCTTTTGTAATTTCTTTAAGGTTTTTTTTGTAATTTCAGCAAGGTTTTTTTTGTAATTTTTAAAATTTTTCTTTTGAATTTGATTAAAGCTTGTTTACCATTTTAAAGATTTAATTAGAGTTTATTTAGTATTCTATTAGAATTAGAATTTTATTGATGCAATTTCCATTCTACCTTCCATAGCCAAGGACCTGGTGCACTCTTGAGCAAGATTTCACATAATACAATAACATCCAAATAAGTTTGAGATACAAAGCTCGTTGCAATCTTATAGGTTTTTAAGAAAATATTTATGGTAACAATCTAAATTATCTCATTTTCTTTATTTATAGCATAGAAGCCATTGTACTAATTGAATTTGAAATTCCTTTCTTTTATATTGTCTTGACAAAAAGATTATCAACTAAAAAATCTTTAATTGATAGACTAAAATAATTAAAAGGTCTAAATAAAGTCAAAAGGTGAAGTATTCAATATATAAAAGCAATCCTAAAAAGAAGAAAAATTACCTTTGATAAAAGATATAAGGTTAAGACTTTTAAATCTAACATGTTGGTTTTCTTAGAAGATATTAAGAGATTAGATTTTCTAAACAAATTTGATGCTATTTAGTTAGATCCTTACTTAGTTAAAGAAATCTTCTCAAATAATTCAATTTGGTTGCAAATCTTCAATAAAGAAGATTTTTCTATTTGAACTTTTGACAATTGATATAAGAAATATTGAGTGTGATTTTTATCATACATATGGTTAATTGTCTCATCCTTGTGTTCACCCTTATTCAATTACTTAAGATGACAAAATCATCAAAATTAGGTGCATTCTAAGAAATAAACATTGGAATTTAAGACAAGTAATAGAATTATTCATTGGTCTTATCTTCTTCTCAATTTAACTCCTTTTACCAAACCATCATAGAAATTTTAAGTATAAAAGAAAAATACTTAATTAGACCTTTATAATTATTAATTAAAAAAATATTATTATTAGATTTAAAAATAATAAAAAATAATTTAGTATCCTCTAGTTATTAACATAATGTAGCATTCATATTATTGAGACATAAAGATAGATAATTGAAGCTATTTTTA